TATAGATTATTCTATTCATATTCGAAAAACATTTACAGTAGTGCCATTCGCTTATTCTATAAATATACGATGAATATATAAGAACGTTCAATGGAATATTCGACATATTCTTGAAGAATATTTATAGAACGTTCATAGCAATGTTAAGTGCTATCTGGGTAGGATCTCCCCTGGATATCCTGAGAAAGAGCAAATGAGCGCCACTTTTAGTCCCTAAATTATCGTTAGACTATTATGTAGGATGTTCCAAGGATTCTTACAGGATATGTGTAGGACATCCCAAGAACTTTTACAGAATAAAACCATATCTTTTATAATAATATTTTTTGAAAAAAAAATTTGGTAATTGTTTAAAACTCTTACAGAAAAATAATAAGAAAATTTTATTAGTGAAATACTAGTATATTGGTAATAGTAATATCACTCATTTCTGTAAGAAATATTTTTTATCCTTATTTTTTCTTGGAGGTCCGATACTGTTCCGCCTTTCAGCTTATATACTCGATTAGAACAGATCGACTTGAAAAAAATCCTAAGATGTTGGATGGATTTGAACTCGCGATTTTCTTGTTCATAGCCTCTGCACCCAGACCGCGAGGCTATTGGACTTAATTACCAGAGTATTCTTTATTTTAGAAACACAAGTAAACTCTATCTCTAATATCGAAATTACAACGATATTTGAAAGATTAAATTTGAAAAAATACAATACTAATAAATATCCTCAGTAATTTTGTGCCAGTAATGTTTAGTAGTACGGTAAAATTCTTATATAGAAAAGCAATAAAAATATTTTTAAAAAATGATATAAAATCTGTCAAATAAATATGATAAAGTTTAACAGATCTCGATCGTTCATGTTCAAAAAAACATGTTCAAAAAACGTCCAAAGAACAATAGAATGTTCTCTGGATGTCTTAGATGTATTTTAAATGTACGTGAGAAAATTTTGTTATACAAAAGATAATATATACAGAGTGTCCAAAAAGTTCCGGGATGGTTGAATAACTTTTCAAGGAAGCGTTTTGGGAAAAAATGTTTCAAACAAAAGTTTGAAGGATCAAAGCAAGATATTTGATGGTGACCTTACCTTTGACCGAGACGTCAAATTTCAAGGTCATCTGAAGGTCAACTTAGAAATTTTAAATGACAACCCCTATTTTTGACTCCAAAAATGAAAAGAGCAAGAAATTTTATAGTTCAGATACGTATTCAGTTGTTCGATCACAGTGAGCCTTTTGACTTCTTTTTGGAATCAAAAACAAAGGTTCTCGTTTAAAATTTCAAAGTTGACCTTCAAATGACCTTAAAATTTGATGTTTTGGTCCAAGGTAAGGTGTCCACCATCACATACCTTGCTTCGATCCTTCAAACTTGTTTGAAACATTTTTTCTGAAAATGCTTTCTAGAAGAGTTATGCGATCGTTAAATGTTTGATCTTCAAATAACCTTTAAGGCTCACTGTGACTGAACAACTGAATACGTATCTGAACGTAAAATTTCCTGCTCTTTTCATTTCTGGAGTCAAAAACAGGGGTTGTCATTTAAAATTTCTAAGTTGACCTTCAGATGACCTTGAAATTTGACGTCTCGGTCAAAGGTAAGGTCACCATCAAATATCTTGCTTTGATCCTTCAAACTTTTGTTTGAAACATTTTTTCCCAAAACGCTTCTTTGAAAAGTTATTCAACCATCCCGGAACTTTTTGGACACTCTGTATAATAAATATATATTATAATTTTATATTATTTTTAATATAGTTTTTTAACTGTTTATTACCAATACCAATTTCCAGAGAACATGTTCCAATACATAGATGTCCTTTGAAAAATCAACATCTAATGTAAATAATAGACAAAGCATACTCCGCAAATAATTTTTGATCTGTTTACGACAGAAAGATGACTGCAATAGGGTCGATTTGTTAAATGCATTGACGACAGATTCCCAGCAAACGCCAAGATCTGTTCGTGCATTCGTGTGAACTGTTCGCACGCAAGACTACAACACTATCTGTTTGACATTCACACAACAAAATGGCGATTATCTGCAGTCGTATCTGTCATGTTGATGACAAATTGTTAGCAGACATTAAATAGTCTTTGACAGTTGCAACTGGTCATCAATTGGCAATAGATAACATAAATATGCAATAGCTTCCGATACGTTTGTACGACAGATTGACAACAAACAGTAAGCAGGCTTGTCAACCGCGCTGATGACAGATTAACTAAACGCAATTCAATGCATTGCAGTTTAAAATTCCTGCAGATGTATTATCAAATGCATTATTGATAAACTATATTTTAAATAGCAGTTTTTTTTATAAGCAGTCCTTTTCTTATAAATCAGTAGGGAGATTTTTAATTTGGTTTTTATTAAATATTGATAAAATATAATTTAAAATATAATTAATAAAGAATCTTTAGGCTCTGAAGTTTCTAAACTGAGAAATATAAATTAGGTCATAAGAGCCGTTCGCAGAATGTTGTGCGGAAATATGCGTGTATGTATACAGGGTATCCCAGAATTGGTGTAACATCTCTCGTTGACAGGTAGAAGAAGTAAAACTGAGTTGATAAGTCCTATACCATTTTGCTAGATTCGCAATAGTTACCGAGATCTTAATTAACAAAGATCAGCGAATAAGCATGCATCGGGCTATCTTATATAAAAAACTTTATCAAGCGTCTGCAAAACTGTATAACCTTAATAGAACAACAGCGCGAAATATCATCTCGCGATGATTGTATCAAATTTCACTCTATTATACATCATCAATTGTCCGCTCCAATTTGTGCAAATATGTTAAGATATGCGTGGTTCGCATCCAAATTAACAGATGAAAGAGAAGTCTTTATAAATGTAAATGAAGTTTGTTTTCCATTAGATATTTTAAAAACACCTTGTGAATTTAAAACTGCAGCGTTTATACGATGCGCACATTGTCGACAAAATTATTGTTTTTATTGTTTCTAATGATAAATTTCATCCAGCAACATGGAATGTGCCTTCTTGCAGTTAAATAAAACACGTTTCACATTTATTCGTATAGCACTGATTCTTCCGATGTTATTATTAATTATAAACACAATAAAAAATTTATTAATTACATTCATTTTGAATAATAATTGCATTATATTATACAAATTAATTGTATTAAAAAAAAAAATTTACTCTCCGAAACTCGAACCAGCAGCGTTCTACCGCCACTACTAGTCTAGTGCGCTACCGCTGCGCTACGCGCTCTTCGGTAAAACGCTCTATTTCATATGTACTTAAGTCGCTCGAAAATTCTTAATTGCGATTTTCTCGCGAACGCTTGAGTAGTGCGTCTTATGCATTTACTTTATAACGCTTGGCATAGTGACCTATCGATACAAAAAGTTTCGGCGAAATCGATTGGTCACACATCGTGCGCTCTCCTTGTTAGAATAACCCCTTCTTGCCTACGAGCGGTGAAACGGCAATTATGGGACATCCTGTATATACGTGTTCACATGTAAATTTTACACGTGAGTTTTTGAATTAAAATTTTAATTCTTAAAATCATAAAGAATGCTAGATTTTTGCATCACATATATGAAAGTCATAATTTAAAATATACTTAGAAAACAGTGCTGGAATTTCCAGTCTAGAAGAAAAATGCAATTGTCAATCACAAACCTGAATAAACAAAGTGTTTTNTAATGGATTTTTGGTCACCGAAAAAATGAATCCGGCGACGAAATTGACTTAGCACGTCAAATTTTCAAGAAAATTGAGGTTACATGTATCAAAATTGACATTTTTGCTATGTTTATCATTTTTTTGCGGCCCAACTTAATTTTGTTTTACAATTTTATTTACATCACATAAAAGTGCTATCTTTTATCTATAATGTGAATTTATATTTATTATACATACTGTACGATTTTTTTATATACATAATTAACATTAATTTTACATAATTAACATTACCCAGATAACCAAGACTGAGTGATCATATTTTGCAAAGTTTGCAATAACACATTATGCCAGTACAATGTAGCCAGCATTCAAACATAATCTGTTATTTCAACTAGTGTCGACAGAAAAACAGAAAAAAAAAAGAATATAAATATGTCATGCCGTGATGTAAATATTATTGCATCAATCAAGCAGAACTTGCTCAAAAAATGTAGCAGATTTGAAGCATAACGTGCTATTGTCATTTCATTCTTCATTTATTTCTATATTTTTGCTGTGTTGTTTTCTTTACGTATCGTGCCTACATAATTCACTCACTATGATGACACAGCTGAGTGGAATCTGCTGCAAAGTGCTGATTAAACCTGCGTGCATACTGCTGGCATACTGCTATCATTTGGCTATTGGGGTTAATTACATACATAATTAACATTAATTTTATTAATATTCAGGTCTCAAAAATGTGTTGAGAACAGTGTAATCAATATATATCAACAAAAAATTTGCGTTGTAAAACTGTAGTTTAAATTATATTTAAACTATATATATGGTATTTAAACTCTATTATATTTAATAATAATAAGAAAAATATTTTTATTTATTGTTGAGGTACATTCTACTGCTATATTTTTAATAATATAATTTACATAAATAATAAATAAAATGTGTAAGATATAGCTTGAGAATACGTATATAAAAATAATTATATGTTAGTAAGGAACACAAGTGGTCTCGCGGACTGAGTGCAGGGACTGCGAATATGGAGGTCTCGAGTTCAAATCTCGCTATCACATTTAGAATTTTTTCAGGTTCGGTCTCTTTCAATGGAGTTCATCGGTTGATCAGCGAGCTGAATCAGGCTTCCAGAAATTACTTCAAGTGAAGTATCGAATTAATTCTTCTCCGACAAGGCGATTATGTCATTGGTTTTTTTGTTTTTAGTAAGTAATTCGTCTTCCAAGTGGAATCCATTCTAGGCAACAGATCTGGTCTGCGTTTGATAGCAATCTGTCGACGTTTCTGACAAATACATCTGCTCTGTATTTGCTAATGTTCTGTTGACAGTTTTGATAACAGATATGCTCTGTATTTGGCGATATTTTAGCGCCAACAGACGATTACCAAACCTGTTCCAGGTTTGATGCCTCACTTCGGCTTCGCTTTGCTAGTGGCAGATCTGTTATGATTTTGGTCTCGTTTTAAAATATCTATAGGTTGAACAGATTTAATCGTCAAACTATATCCTACTGAGGATACAGTAGGCTATAGTTTTGGCATTAGATTCCGCCAACGATTTTTGACAAATCCACGACATCCCACAACTTGTTTGCAACAAATTGTTTGCTAGGTATGGAAGCACAGAATATTTTACATAGCATTTGTCGATTGTGGCTTTTATCTAAAAATAGATCTTATTCACTTCAAAACCAGATTATTCAGAGACGAATACTTACATTATATTTATTATATATAAAACTTAAAAGACGTGATAAAAAAAACTTAAACGTCAATACTGGGTACGATCAATTTTCTCAGAAGAAAGAAGATTAATGCAAGGAGCAAACAACAATTTAGTTCGTGAAATGGAAATTATATAGATAAAGAAAAATATTTTAATTATTTTCGGATGCCAATAGAAATATTTGAAAAACTGCTAAGCATTATTGAGCTACATATTACAAAAAAAAACTATTGTCCGCACACCACTCTGCACGCACTCGTTTGCAAGTGACCTTGCGATATCTAGCTTCTAGAGACAGATGATTTCTATATCGTATGCTTTTCGTATTGCGCACAATACTATTTCCAAAATTGTCTCAGAAACGTACGGTGCTATCTGAAATGCTCTTAAAACCAAAGTATTTTTACAACTGAATACAACTAATTGGCAAAATATCGCAGAAAATTTTGAAAATATTTGGCAATTTAATAACTGCATTGGAGCCATTGATGGGAAGCATGCCGTCATACAGGTAAAAAACTATTCTATAAAAAATATATTCATTTTTTATTCTAGAAAAAATATTGTTTCTATAAAGAATATATTTATTATATAAAACAATGTGTGTAAATTGAGCAAATTTTTCATTATAATCTGTATTTTGCAGGCATCACCAAATAATGGTTTCATATATTATAATTATAAAGGACGACACAGTCTCATTTTTCTTGGAATAAGCGATGCTAACTGTTGTTTTATTGTGGATATCGGTGGGGAAGGAAGACAATATGATAATACAATATTTCAAAATAGTGACCCAGATAGCCAAATGTGAAAACTCAATATAAAGTAAATCATTGTATACAGGGTCCGCCACTTAAATCCGGACAAATTTGAATTTGACATTCCCATCATATTAGAATGCAGCAGTAGGTGCCATATGACCTAAAGATAGGTTAGAGACGTCGATAAGACATTAATAACCTTAAAATGGCCGAGTCGTTCAGGAAGACG